GTTTAGCAGCCATCGCTGCCTTATTGGCCATTGGAGTTGATGCCCAAGTTACTGACGCAGAAGTGCAGAGACCTGGGGCTGATCTGGTTTCCTTCTCTCTAAGTGTGCATTCTTCCTCCAACAATGGCATCTCTGCACTCGTGGAGGGCAGTACCAGAGCCAGAAGGACCGGAGCAGGTTGCTGGCAGGGGCTGGGGCACACGGGGATGGTCCTGACCACTCAGACTCTGCCCCAGGCAGCTTTCAACCTGATGCCTCTGCACCTGCAATGTCCATTCAGATGCAACACCAGGTTTGAGCTAGCTCGTTTCCTTAAGGCTATACATTCTCTCCAGCAAACGAAGCCTTGACCCTAGTGCAGAGCTCCCTGGAACAAGAGGGTCTACTGCAGGTGCCTCCTGTGTGCTAGGATACATGCTGAGGTGGTTACAGGAAACTGGCTAAAGCCCCAGGCTGTTTTCNGACTCGTTTTTGAATAGTGATACAAAGAATAATGGAAAAGGAGCAGATTCTTGGGACAAAGAGAAAAAGAAATCATCATTAAGTCTGAGATTCCTTTTGGCCATCCAAGTAAAAGGATTGCACTAACAGCTCTGATACAGAAGCCTGGAGCTCAGAAGAGAGGGCCAGATACCTCAGTTCAGTCGCTCAATTGTGTCTGACTCTTTGCGACCCCATGGACTGCAGTACGCCCGGCTTCCCTGCCCGTCATCAACTCCTGGAGTTTGCTCAAGCTCATGACCATCGAGTTGGTGACACCATCCAGCCATCTCGTCCTCTGTCGTCCCCTCCTCCTCCGAGAGAGAGGATGTCTCAGATCCCCTTCTCCTCCTAGAGAGAGGACGTCCCAGATTAGATTAATCTGAATTTTCTTAGGCTTCCCTAGCGGCTCAGTTGGTAAAGAATCTGCCTGCAATGCAGGAGATCTCCTGCAATGCTAAAGACCTGGGTTTGATCCCTGGGTCAGGAAAATCCCCCGGAGAAGGAAATGGCAACCCACTCCAGCATTCTTGCCTGAGAAATCCCATGGAGAGAGGAACCTGGTGGGCTACAAACCATAGTGTTGCAGGAGTCAGACACGATTTAGCAGCTAAACCACCACCATTAAATCTCTTGGAAATTTCCGATGGCTCAACGTACATGTGTAATATTAAATCCATCACATTAAAACACCAAAAGGAGCTTTCCTGGTGAGTCAGTGGTAAAAACAAAAAACAAAAACCTGCCTGTCAACACAGGAGACGCGAGTTCAATCCCTGATCCAGAAAGATCCCACATGTTGCTGAGCAACTAAGCCCATGTACACCAACTGCTGAGTCTGTGCTCTAGAACCTAGGAGCCACAGTACTGAGCCCGTGTGCCACAGTACTGAAGCCAGAGCCCACGAGAGCCCATGCTCTGCAACGAGATGCCTCCTCATGAGAAGGCCTCGAACTGCAGCTGGAGTAGCCCCTGCTAGCCACAACTGGAGAAAGTCCATGCACTAACGAAGACCCAGCACAGCCAAAGATAAACAAATCAATGAAATTTCTTAAAAGTATCAAAGAAAGTGTTTAGACAGACCAATACTAGATTGCTATAAGGTCTAAAAAATAAAGAGATTTAGTAGCAAAGGGAATATGGGAGAGGAGGTTACTGTCTCCTGAGATAGCCGACCTGTCCCAGGACACAGAGAGATTTTGGCTAAACAAAGGAGGTAAAGAGAACTTTTGAAGGAAAGGTTAAGTGTGTATTGGGTTATGCTGATGGTTGACTGCAGATTTCAGAGTGGAATGATATCAGAAGTTGGGCAGGAGGGGAGCTGAGATCAGTAAAGGAGAGATACAGAGATGTGTGGGCTGGATTTCACAGGAGTTGAGGGCTGATAGGACAACCCTGAGCTTCATGCTGAGTGACAGCAATGAATGCAACAAGAGGTGAGTCCTCTGGCCTCAAGGTGAAGATAAGGGTTGGAAGGTGATTATAGACAGGTGAGGGTCAGACGGAAGCATGGAGATTTCTGGGCAAAGGTCACTCCTGCGGTTAGTGGTATGAGATTCATTTATACAGAGCAGGGTGACTAGGATATCCTGTTGATTCCTTAAATACTGCTCACTTGAGTAATAGCGTAGATACAAATTTCTCAAATCCTGGAAACAAAATTTGTTCTAGGAATCAATATAAAACTCCCCACCCACTTTCTCCTCCACATGGGAAGTCTTAGGCTTTAGTACAATGTTCTCCTGGAGGAAAAATAAAGCTAAAGCTTGTTAGTCAAGATAACTACTATGATCACATTACCTAAAAGGGAAAATTGAGATTGGAATAGTTTAAATAACTTGTTCAAAGTCAAGCAAGTTTATACTTAGCCAAGCAGAGACTCAGGGTCTTCCTGTGCTTTTCTCAGTGTCCCATGATAAATATACTTTGTAAATATATAGATATAAATATATAAAATATACAACATAAATATATAGAAGTTTTAATAGGACCTCTATAGTGTTTAGGCGAAAACTTTCAATTGTATAAAACAGATAAAAGAAATATTCAAAGAACTTAAGCCCCAGCTCTGAATAAATCAAAGGGTAAATGGCTTCCTTAATGCATTTTCTTGACTATGTCTATTTATGTAAATTTATGCACACAGTAGATTTCATCCAGTTGATTTGTAGGCTTACCTGACTGCCTGAACAATACAACATGCAAATCCAGCACCTTCATACGTGAGTTGACCTCAAATCAGAAACTCAGTTAATGAAAGCAAGTAAACATTCTATTGTGATGCTTTTCTTTAGTGTTTGACCAGAAGGTTTAAAGTTCCCTAGCTGCAGGAAGAAACTGGAGGAAAAAAAGTGGTTTCAGCCTTGGAAGCAGTGCACAAGTTCTGCTCCTGGGTCTGGTGCTCACTCTTCTAAAAAAGTCACTTAACTTCTTTGAGCTTCAGTGTCTTTATCTATAAAATAGAAATAATAAAAAGGCAGTCCCAAGCAACATCTTGTCTGAAGACTACCGCTATAAGAAAATCCCTATAATGCTTCATACTCAGTAAGGAGTGGTCATCACAATCATAGTCATTATCAGTGTTATTTAGGGCTGTTTTTCCCTGGACATTGTTACTGCTCTTGGCAATATCACAATTTGGGGGAAGGTCATTGTTGCTAGTGGACAGCTATTAACAAATCGAAAGAAAAATAAAAGGCCAAAGTAACTCTGATTCTTGGGCTGCACTTTCTAATACGAGGACAATTAGAGTGATGTGGGAACCAGGAGGGAGTTATGTAGACATAGAATTCTCAGGGAACAAATACCCTATGAGGGCTATAAATCTTCTTATCTCACCTAACTAGGGAACATGTGATTGACCTGTCTATAGGGATCCAGCTCTGCTTGTTGAGGGAGATTGTGAGTGTATGTTCACTATTTGCAGTAATTCTCTTTATTGTTGTTTATTAGTTGCAAAGCCATGTCTGACACTTTATGACCCCATGGACTGCAGCACGCCAGGCTTTCCTGTCCATCACCAGCTCCCGGAGTTTATTCAAACTCATGTCCATTGACTCAATGATGCCATCCAACCCTCTCATCCTCTGTCACACCCTTCTCCTCCTGCCCTCAATTCTTTCTGATGTTGCACTAATTCAACCACAGCATGACCTTCAGAGCTGCAATTTGACATAAATATTGGGGGACAGAGACACAGGCTCTGTCATTAAATAAGACATAGTGGACCCATGGAATTAACAGTTCACTTAATTCACCTTAAATGTTTGTACAATGAGAAGAAATATCAGCTCATTAAACTGTTTACTAATCCCAGATGGATATAAACTATAACCGTGAGACATGGGACTATATACTCATGCAAAATTAAATCATTCTTGCATACATGATGCTTAAGCTTAGTGAAGAAGATAGGCATCAAACAAGGAAATAACCTAAGCCTATGAATATATAGAGAAAAAACATTTATATAGCATATATAATTTTGTGTATATGCATATATATGTAACATTATGTATAGGATAAGCAAGTAATTGTACATGGAAAAATAAGAGAAACAAGAAGAAATCTGACTGGACAGAATGCTTTCTAAGGGAAAGTTAACATGTCAGCCAGGCCTAAAAATGACAAAGAACCAGTCTGGAAAAATCATTCCATGGAAAACAAAAAGCACGGGATCACAGCTCCAAATTTCAAGGAAGTTGCCAGAATCTAAAAGAAGGCAATGTGTCTGCAGCATAGGTAGCAAAGCCTCTTCCTCAGCACTTTACATTTCAACACCCTCCCAGAATAAAACCCTGTTCTTTGAAACATCTATAAAAAATTAAGTTATTGGTACATTGCTATAAGGGCTTCCCTGTTGGTTCAGCGGTAAAGAATTCAACTGCAATGCAGGAGAAGTAGGTTCGATCCCTGGGTCAGGAAGATCCCTCGAGAAGGAAATGGCAACCCACTCCAGTATTTTTTTTTTCCCAGTATTTTTTTGCCTGGGAAATTTCATGGATAGAGGAGCCTAGCAGGCTACAGTCCATGGGGTTGCAAAAGAGTCAGACGCAGCTTAGCGACTTAATAACACATAGGTAAAAATCAAGCCACATCTTTACATCTAGGGCACATATTTGACATAACCATGGGAGTATAGAGACACAGGCTCTTAACATTAAACAAACAAAATGAATCCCAAACTTACTGCAACCCCTCATTCCTTAAATCTTTACACCATTGTTAAGAATTATCCATTCGCTCAACTATTTATTGATCCCAAATGAGTATCAGCCACAGTTTGGAGCCTAGGAAGACATATTCATTCAAAACTCCCATATTAGTCTTACTAGTCTCATGTGCTTAAGTTTAGTGGAGACGACAAACATGAAACAAACACACAGATAAGCATATAGTTATAACCTGAAAAAGGTGTCCATGTGACAGTGAGTAGTAAACTCTACTGTGAACTGAATGGTCAGAATATTTTCTCAGGAGAATCAATGTCTCAGCCAATGCCTGAAGGATAAAGNTTTTTGAAAATGATGCAAAAGACCACTCTTTATTAATGCTGTCTTTTGTGCCTTCTGGAAAGTTGTTAACAAGTTTGTATTTGTTGTAAGTTCCATAATAGCTGGATGTATTCATTTTCAGTGTTTAAGTTTACATACATAAACTGGTCTCTTGATGTCTAATCCATGTGAAAAGTTACATGTTGCTACCAACACGTTGTTAAATCTATAACATCAAGAAATAAAATGTAGAGACTTCCTTAAACTATGAATCTGAAGAACAGTATTAATTACAAGTGCTATTTTTAGAGCCCCAGGTTCTAAAAGTTAGATTTTTTTTTTTTTAACTTATGGAAATTGGCCCCACATCATAAGGCAGTCATTACTTTCCCTATTATTTTCCTTTTGTGCAACTCTAAAAATGAACATTTGCTTTTTAACTGATTATTCAGATATGTAAAGTCTTAAATAAAACTGTCTGGCAGCGTCAAAAAAAAAAACTGCTTTTGCTGCATCCTGTAGATTTTAGAACATTGTGTTTCCATCTCCACTTGTCTCAAGGTATTCTTTTATGTCCTGTCTAGTTTCTTTGCTGGATCATTGGTTATTTAGAAGCACGTTGCTTATCTACCATGTGTTAATGTTTTTTTCTGGTTTCTTTCACATCCACAATGGCATGACACTAGAAGCCACTGACAAGAAGAGGCTGTGAGGGGAAATAGGTCAGAGATAGGGTTGACCACAAAGAAGATTAGGAAAACTTATGATGAGTAATTGTGGACACGACTTAGCAAATCAGCAGCAGCAGCAACAATTGTGGCAGTGGCTACATGACTCTACATGTGACCAAAGTCTTCAAACCATACACTAAAAAGTGTGCATATTACTGTTTGTAAGTTATATGGCAATTCTAAAGGGGGCTATAACAAGAAATATGACAAGTAATACCAGCGAATGTATTGACCCTCAAAATATCCAACTTAGTCCCACAGGAAGTCAAATTGCTTCCTCCTTTGGAAAGTGGGGTGACGAGCTGTAGACGCCCTCATGCTCTCCCAGGAGGTCATCCCTGGGGAGAGAGATGTCTCTCTAATTCCCTGCTGATTCCCACGCATTAGTCTCTGAAATCCCACCCTGACTCCGGTCAACATCATTTCAGGAGAGCAGACTGCACGCTGAGCCCTGTTACCACCCTTTATTAATCTGCATGTTAATAAATGCAGGCTGTTAGTCTGGCAGGTCCTCAGCTGACCTAAGGATTGGCTGTGAGCCTTCAGTCATCAGGGAAAATGCCCCAAGGTAAACATTATACTAAGCAACCTTAAAATAATAACCTCTTAGTGTTTTATAGACCTTCCTTTATTTGCCATTTACAGAGGCAATTTTGTGAATTATGTGGGAAAAGTAATTTAATTATATTTATTTCACAAATAGGACATAAGTGGCTCCTCCAAGGGCACAGAAAGAACGCCTAGTAGATTCAGAAGCTGACTGCATACTAGTGTTCTTTCCCTCATCTTCCCTGCCTTAGAGACCTGGGAGCATTTCTACCGCTGCCTGGGAGATGACTTCTCTGACAGCATTTATGCATTATGTCATGGCTAAATTTCTGACTTCAAACTTACTATTCAGGATTAACCATTCTATTTTGTCAAGGAGTAAGGTAAGTATCTATATTCAATATATACATTTAAATTTAAAAAGTTTAAAACAAAAAGCTTGCCACAGAAATAGATCTACAAGCTAAAGGTATCCCACAAAGCCTGAACTTTCAACCCTCTACATCTGTGATTCAACTATTGGATAAATAGTAATAAGAAAAAAGAAGAAAAGGAGACTATTTCAACCTAAGCTGATATATAAGTTTAAGAAAATGAAGCAAAAGAATGGCTCACTGACCAGAGTGGGCAATTATACAGGCAGAGCATGAACAGAGGGTGATATATTGGGAAGCACCAAAAATTGCATAGACCTAAGTGGTGTGTGAGCAAAAGCAAAATGAAGAGGAGATTACAAGGTCTCAAAACTCATCCTCACCTGGAGCTCTGCACACCATCATCCACCTTGCTCAAACCAGCATAGAAAACCATCTTTCCTTTTTAATAGTAATGTTTTATCTATCTTCTTCAGACTGTGCTGCACACTCAGCTTTTTGCTCATTGTTTTTCATGCATTATCTAACTTAATTCTCAAAATAACACCTTGACTTAGGTCTCCTTACTATCTTAATTTTCCAGTTGGGGAACAACTGGAATGTCAGTTGATGACCAAAGACTCAGGCTGTTAACTTAGGGCTCTTCTCAGAGTCCAGACTCTACACCCAGTGCTCTGTCTTCCCTTGAGAACTGCCTCCGCTGACTGTACATGCCCCTACTCCTCCGGTTTCCCCACTGCATACACTGTGTATCTAAGTCTCAGATACTTCACTGTGCAACCTCCAACACTGAGTTTGGACCACGGAAGACAATAAATAATTTAAACAGAGCTAAATGCCGCTTAATTTAAATTTAGTAAAGACACATCACACTTGAGAAATGCTTTGTCTGAGAAGAGAATCTGACTTGCCACTATTTGTGGAAATACAAATTACTCATCTTCTTGTGTCTAGAGCGGGTCTTGGCATATAAACAGCAAAGAAGTGTATGAATCTAATAGGCTAGGAAAAAGCTGAACTGCCAGAGTTATTAATTCCAAAATGATCATGTTTTGACATATTTAAAATAATTAAAAACTGGAGAGATGATTCATTACAATCCCTCATTCAATACTTTAGAATTCTAGATGAATAATACACTAAATTTCACTCTTAAGTCCATGCTTTAGGTGTGGAGAATCTTGAAGCACATATCATTTCTGTAATGAAAAATGTTCATGCAATATAAACATTTCAGTTTCACCGTTACTGCAATCTTAACTAAATTTGACACTCTATTCCTTTGTTTCTCTTTGCTCTAGGATATCTGATTCTTAAGTAACCTGGATGGAGAACACGACAGAAGTGACACAGTTCATTCTCCTAGGACTAACCAACACCAAAAAACTACAAGTTCCCCTCTTTCTAATATTCGTTCTCATTTACGTGATCAATGTGGTTGGAAACATGGGCATCATCCTCTTGGTTCTCTTGGAGTCTCATCTCCAGGCGCCCATGTACTTTTTCCTCAGTAACCTGTCTCTGGTGGACTTCGGTTACTCCACAGCTGTCATTCCCACAGGCCTGGCTGGATTCCTTACAGGCAGCGGGGTCATCTCCTATAATGCGTGTGCTGCTCAGATGTTTTTCTTTGCAGCCTTTGCCACTATGGAAAATTTCCTCTTGGCAGCAATGGCCTATGACCGCTACGCAGCGGTGTGCAGGCCCCTCCATTACACCTCAACTATGACGACAAGCATGTGTGTTAGTCTGTCCGCAGGCTCCTATGTCTGCGGTTTCCTGAATGCCTCCATCCACGTTGGAATCGCCTTCAGTCTCTCTTTCTGTGGGTCCAATGTGGTCCACCACTTTTTCTGTGATGTTCCAGCAGTCATGGTTCTCTCTTGTTCAGATAGGTATGTTGGTGAGATGGTTCTCGTTTATGTAGCCAGTTTCAACATCTTCTTTGCTCTCCTGGTTATCTTAATATCCTACATATTCATATGTATCACCATTCTGAAGATGCACTCCTCTGCAGGGTACCAGAAGGCTTTATCCACCTGTGCCTGCCATCTCACAGCAGTCTCCATCTTCTATGGTACGGTTATCACAATGTACTTACAGCCCAGCTCCAGTCATTCCATGGACACTGACAAAATTGTGTCTGTGTTCTATACCATGGTCATCCCCATGCTGAACCCTTTGGTCTATAGTCTAAGGAACAAGGAGGTCAAGAGTGCTTTCAAAAAGATGATTGCAAAGGCAAGATTGTCGTTTTAACATTTTAGAGTACGTAATGATCCAGTTTTACTCTTCTCAGATTTTTCCCATGCACTGAGTCACATGCAGAAATTAAATCCTGAATAATACCCTTATTTTTTTCTAAAGTATATTGTCTAGAATAAGGAAGTGTTGCGTTTGGAAATCTAACAACTAAATGAGGATGGCCAAAGAAAGCATAAATATTTTTGTTCTGCTTGTCAAAAAAGCTAGTTAAGGACATTTACATGTTCAACATGCATTTTACCTGCCACATGCACTATAGCATACAGGTGAAGCAGGAAAGCAAGCAAGCCCATGAAGAGAACTGCATGCCTGTGCCCTATAGACACGCATACACGTGGGAGGAGAAACTTAGCAAGAGATAGATGGAGAGTGTTTGTTTTTATTAAAAATAATGTGAATAGTGACTTAGTGGATTAAAATATAAATTTATATCTAATATTACTTTCTTTAGTTGAATAACTGTTCTAAAAGTCCTAGTCTGAGAAAAAAAGCAATAAACTTTTGATGAAACTATGTGCTTATTTTGTTGGCATAGTTTACTGACAGATGTGTAAATATACCATCTTAAGTGAACTAATAATTGTCTTGATCAAGTCATTTTATTAAGCTGCATTTTCACATCACAGTCTTCAAAAGGATATAATAGCCACAGTACAAGAAAAATGGAGGAAAAATAATATAATACTTTTTCAATTTTTTCACCCATGACTACCAACATTCACATTATTTTTAAATGCACTGAGATAGCAATAACATTGTGTATTTTTCTGTTTGCAGTTGCTTTAAAATAAGTTAATGATGCTTATTAATTCCCTTTAAATGGTTTATAGCATTATATAAGTTTCACATCATTGTTGTTACTGTTTAGTCGCTAGGTCATGTCCAACTCTTGCAACCCCATGGACTATATGGCCCACCCGGCTCCTCTGTTCATGGGACTTCCAAGGCAAGAATACTAGAGTTGATTGTCATTTCCTTCTCCAGGAGCTCTTCCTGACCCAGGGATTGCACCCATATCTCCTGCATTGGCAGATGGATTCTTTACCACTTGAACCACCAGGGAAATCCCAAGTTTCGTGTGTACAATGTTATATTTCCACTTCTGTATACAGTGCAATGCATTCATCACTAAAAGTTTAGTTCCTACTCATCACCATGCAGTTTACTTCCTTTAATCATTTTGCCCTGCCCCAGCCCTCTTCACCTCTAATAACCACTATTCTATTGTCTCTGTTTGTGTATTTGTTTTTATTTGGCTTGGTTCGTTCAGCCATAAAGAGAATTAAAATTTGCCATTTACTATAACATGGATGGACCTAGAGGGTACTATGCTAAGTAAAATAAGTCAGAGAAAGAAAGACAAATACTGCATATTTTCAATTACAAGTGGAATAAAATAATAAAACAGATAAATGAATGTAACAAAATTGAAATAGACTCACAGATGCAGAGAGCAAACTATTGGTTACTAGTGTGGAGGGGCCAAAGAAAAGGGACAAGATAGAGGAAGGAGATTAAGAATATAAACTAGGATATAATATAGAGCACATGGAACAGAGCCAATATTTTATAACTTTAAATTGAATATAATCTGGAAACCTATTGAATCACTGTTGTATACCCAGAACTAATACAATATTGCAAATCAACTGTACTTTGAGGCATAATAATAAAATGAATAAAATAAAGAGTATTAATAGCCAAGCCATGCCTTGGACCCAAGCCCTTAAATCTACATTGAGTGGTTCCTAAGACTATGATCTGCATTGTTGTTCAGCCACTCAGTCATGTCCAACTGCAACACATCAGGCTTCCCTGTCCTTCACCGTCTCCTGGAGCTTGCTCAAACTCGTGTCTATTGAGTCAGTGATGCCATCCAACCATCTCATCCTCTGCCGTCCCCTTCCCGCAGCACCCCCTCCCCCGCCCGTAATCTTTCCCAGCATCAAGGTCTTTTCCAATGAGTCAGTTCTTCATATCAGGTGGCCAATGTATTGGAGCTTCAGCATCAGTCCTTCCAATAAATATTCAGGGTTGATTGGCTTTAAGTATATTTAGATCAAATTTAATTTAACAAAATTTTCAACTTCACCTTATCAATGGTTCACATTGAAGTAAAAGATATGTGCATAGAGCATGTGTAGAAGAACTGGATCAACGGGGGCATGTCCATCAACAGAGGCGACTCTGAGAGGAAGGCGAAGCATTGTGCATGGAAGACAGGCTCTGGGGTGAGGTACACACCAGTCTTCCATTATCTCCCTTAAGGCATCGTGAAAGTGAAAGTGAAGTCGCTCAGTTGTGCCCAGCTCTTTGTGACCCCACGGACTGTAGCCCACCAGGCTCCTCCGTCCAGGCTCCTCCGTCCATCTCCAGGCAAGAATAGTGGACTGGGTTACCATGCCCTCCTCCAGAGAATATTCCCGATCCAGGGCTCGAACCCATGTCTCTTATATGTCCTGCACTGGCAGTCAGGTTCTTTAGAACTCGAGCCACCTGGAAAGCTCTCATTTTACTAGGCCTATGTCCACACCCACTAGAGAAGGAAATGGCAACCCACTCCAGTATTCCTGCCTGCAGAATCCCATGGACGGAGGAGAACTGGCGGGTTATAGTCCATGGGGTCGCAAAGAGTCAGACACAATCGAGCGAATAAATAGCAAACAGCATGTCCAATCCATAGCGTGTAGAACACAAAGATAGAACCACGCTATAGAGTTTGGATGATTATTTTATCTTTTTAAAAATTATAATGGCAACATGTTGATTTAACAAAAATGACTCAGTCAAGACAGAAATACTGATTCATTTAAGATATGATATTTATGTATCTCTCAACAAAATGTGCCAAAAGAGTAGATACTTTCATTTTAAAAAACTATAATTCTTCCTTCTATTCAGAATATTAAAACAGTTATTTCACAAAAGAAATAATTGCTATTAGACACAATTTTATACTGAATATCTCAACTAACAATTTAAGTTATTTTTATTAAAAACTAGCCATGCTCCATTTACCTCTGACAAATTTCCCATTCCAGTGTGTACGTGCCCGTAATAATGACAAATCGAATACATCAGTACATAATTAGTACTTTACCACATAATGAATCAAATATCAGAAGTAAGCTTTGACAAACAGGTCCAAAATTTTCTAATGCTTTTCCTTAGCTATCTTCATTCAGGTATTGAATTTCTGAATATGCTTTATTTTTACCAGAAATAAGACTTTTGAAAAGATAAGGGTGTCATCTCAGGAATTTAAACGCCGCTTGGGAAAATCTGAGAGGAATTAATAAAGGTTACTGTTCTTAACTGGGCTTCCCAGGTGGTGCTAGTGATAAAGAATCCAGCTGCCAATGCAAGAAACAGAGATGTGAGTTCAATCCCTGGTTCGGGAAGATCCCCTGTCTCAGGAAATGCAACCCACTCGAGTCTTCTTGCCTGGAAAATTCCGTGGGCAGAGGAGCCTGGTGGGCTGCAGTCCATGGGACAACAAAGAGTTGGGCATGCCTGAGCAGCTGAGTGCACACGCTGCACATACTGCAGTGTTAGAATTCTGTCGGAAATGTTGCCTTCTCTGTGACTCTCGTGAATGCACCTCCGTGTCCCTCAGACCATAGACCACAGAGTTCAGCATGGGGATGAGCACAGGAGCAGAACACAGACGCCACTTTGTGTCCGTGGAGCGCCTGGAGCTGGGCTGTAAGTACATGAAGATGACGGTCCCACAGAGGATGGAGACAGTGGTGGGGTGGGAAGCGCAGGTGGACAAAGCCTTACAGTGCCCCTAAGCTGAGTGCATCTTCAAGATGTTTACAAATATTAACAGATAGGAAATCAATATAATCAGAAGAGCAAAAGAGACATTAAAGCTCATGGTGAAAACAAGAACCACTTCACTAATGTGTTTCTCAGAGCTAGAGAGCCAGGACAGCCGGAACATCACAAAGTCATGGACTATGTTGGACCTGCATAAAGAAGGACAGAATATGGAAAGAGGCATTCAGAATCTACAAACATAGGATCCCATGGTCAGACATGCGCACACATGTGTCGTCGTGGTGGTGGTGGTATGCAGGGCCTTCCATACTGCTGTGTAGCGGTCATGAGCCACTGAGGCCAAAAGGCAAGCTTCCACACTTGCAAAGGCTACGAAAAAGAACATATGAGTGGCACTGCATTGTAGGAGACGACCTTGTCTCCAGTGAGTAATCCAGCCGTTACTATGGGAGTGACATCTGAGAAGTAACCAGAGTTCGCCAGAGACAGGTCACTGAAGAAAAAGTGCATAGACGCGTGCAGACGAGAGCCCAAGAGAAGCAATGTGACCACTCCCAGGTTTCCAGTCACATTGGTGAGGTAAATGATAGCGAACGTGATAAAGAGGGGGATCTACAGTTCTGGGGAGCTGATCGGTCAAAAGAGGATGAACTGTGGCACTTCTATCTCGGTCTCCATCAATGCTATTTGGGAATTATGAGAGATACTGCAGTAGTGAGAAATAAAGGGGAAAAGTGACAAACAGAAAAGAAATTGCAGTGAAATTTAAATGCATTATCATGAACAATTTCTACTTCAAAAGTATCCTGATCTATTATTAAGAACTTTACGTGTAAATGTGTGTATGAGTGTGTGTGTGTATGTGTACAATGTGTAGTCCTATTATTTTCATTTTGCCATTAAAGGAGTAAAAGATTTGAGAGATTATATGATATTCTACAATTCTATTGCTAGTCTAAAAAATTCAAGACTGAAGCCTAATTTTCATCTACTCAAAATCCAGGGGCTTTTAATCACCTCACTGTCAACACATATAAAGGTACTAGTAAATATAAGGATGGTAAAAGGTTAAATTGCTGTTAGATCTTGCTGATTTATTTATTTCCTTTTGTTCTCTGTGTAATTTAAAGAATAGTCACTTCACACTTCTCCTTTTTTTACCTTTAATGAGAGACCAACTGTTAATGAACAAGGAAAAAAATTGCTACCTGCTCAATCAGAGCACCATCTGTCTTATTTTTCACTCATCTTCTTTAGGGAAGCAACAGGAGGGTTCATAAGTACCACTAAACTTCTCACCAATGGAAATTTTGATATTAAGACTCCAATCTCAAATCACTATTTTGGAAAAAAGGTTCAAAACATCATTTCTATGCTCATAAAATTCATAGTATGAATAGGCTTCCCATTGTTTTTGCATGAATTACACTTTTCACTGATAGTGTTTATGGAATAATTATCTCACTCCTTGAAGAGAAGGAACAGTCAGTCCTGAATAGTGAATGTGAAATCAGAAATTCAGCCATGAAATAATGCCTGAGTAATGATAAAGAAGCTGAATTGTAGGTAGGGGTCAAAAGACTCCAAGTACCTTAAGACAGTGAGAGATCAAGGATGAAACTCTAACAAGGACTCAGGAACCAGGACTAACAGGGACCCAGGAACCCAGGTTCAAGTCCCAGGTCCACCATTAATTCTTGCTGTGCCCTTGCAGGCATCACCTTCTCCTCGCTTGTAAAATAAACATTGTGAACTCCCGTGTGGCTTACAGAGTTGTGTCTGTAAATAGCAAATAAGGGAAGATCTACTGAAAAACTCAGTAGAGAGGGTTACCATTTTAAATTTATTCAACATAACTTTTATCTTGAGGTGATT